ATATTCATAGTTAATCGGACGACTACCCGTTCGACTCGGGTCCAGGCTGCTGCTGCATTATAAACTAAACTCTTTTTGGGGCAGGAATTTTGTTTCGGGTAACGGGGTTCGTGGCTTGCATCAAGTATTGTTTGAGTTGGTAGCAAGCGGGGACTTGGACAACCAACTCTCATTCCGACGGTGGACATTTTCGTACGCGTGCGATGTTCAGAGGTATGTTTTTGTTTGAATTCAGTTCAACCAATCGAAGTTGAAAACGACGTGTACATGCACAAGGACAAGGCGGGTGTCTCAGATGGCACGGAGCGTGAAGAGCACCAATACGGCCTGGTAGTGGCAGGTCTGCCCGACTACATGTGTTGATGGTCGATCCCCTTTTCATCGGGCGACGACCCGTTCGACTCGGGTCCAGGCCGCTGTCGGACGTAGATCCATTTTTGGGCAGGGATTTTGTTTCCTGTGGGCACACATCGAGCGCAAGTCACTACTATTATGAAGACCGAATACATTTGGACGTAGAGAGATTTATTGCGGGATTTGCGGCGGAGGAATTCGCATGTAACACGTTCAACAACTATTCAGTGGTCCAATCAATTCGAAAGCCACCACGCATCCGAATAAAGAAGTGACGCCAACTCCCCGTCCACGTTTGCGGGTTGTAGGTGTTACTTACTTTGAACCAACGCTCGAATCGCGTTATTTGCATGTGTGTACGCGCCTGATGCCACGTGTCCGTCTCCCTTGCCTTCCCTATTCTGCACCAAATTCCCACTCGCTCCTTCTGACCCCCACCGCCATAATCCACCTGAAAAATGGGCTCAGCACAAAGCGCACTCACCCCAGAGGCCATCCTCACCGCTGCCGTCGTCGTCGGCGGCGCAGCCGCCATTGGGTACACTGCCCTCGCACCGTCGTCGTCGTCGGCTGCAGCTTCCGCAGCGTCTACCTCCGGGAAGAAGAAGAGTAAACGCAAGTCTACTGCTCCTGCTGCTGTGGCGGCTGCTACGGAGTCGATCCCCGACACGGACCCACCGAAGTCCAAGAAATCCAAGGCGAAATCCAAAGCCGGCGCCGAGTCTCTCTCGGGATCAGCAACAGCCACAACGACGGCGGCGCCGCCCGTTCTCGCGAGCGCGTCCTCCCTCCCGGGTGCATTCGACAGCGCGGCGGATGAGGCGGAACCGGCCAAGCCGCAGTCCAAGAAGTCCAAGGCGAAGAAGACTAATAAGGCGGCTCCAAGCGCATCGGCGTCGGTCAATACAGCGACGGCCACACCCACACCGCCTTCGTTGCCCCCGCCCCCGTCGCTCGCTGCGTCCGCCCCCGCCGCCGCCGCTTCGTCCAAACCCAAGAAAGGCGGCAAGGGCAAGAAGAAGGCCGGCGCCGCCGTTCCACGGCGGGGGAGAGCACAGACGACGGCTGGACGCGCGTCGGCGGCGGGGACAGCACCGCGCCGAGCCTCACGGAGGACAGCCTCCCCGAAGACGCAGAGGGGGAACAGGAACAGGAAAAGGAAAAGGAACAGGAGGAAGAGGAAGACGAGGAAGAGGCGGAAGAGATCCCCCTCCCCGGGGATGCGCCCCAAGCCGAGCCTGAACAAGCCCCCGAAGCGTCCGTTGGCGGAGAGGTTGTTGCCGAAGCCGAGGAAGACGGGGGTGGATGAGTGAGTGCGCTTTTGTGTCTTTATTTCGACTTCGTTCGCACAACATGTCATTAGCTAACCTCCCTCCCCCCATCCAGCATGCTCCCCGCCTCCTCGCCGGACTACCCCGCCCTCGCGCGCGTCATGCGCGTCGTCCCCGCTGCGCCGCCTTCCCCGCCTCCTTCGCCTCCCCATCCTTCTGCTTCCCTTGCCCCTGCTTCCCATCCTGCTCCTTCTCCTTCTGGGCCTACCTCGACCCCACCAGCTGACGCCTCTGGAACCGACGCAGCCCAAGACGCAAATGAAGACGAAGAAACCCGCGCAGCCCTCATCGCGCTCGCCGCCGCAGACGCCGCGGACGCTGCGGACGCTGCGGCCCTCGCTGCCGCCGACGCCTCGTTGTATGAGTCGGGGTTCCGAGATGTGCGGGGGGGTGCGAGGGGAGACGGAGACGGGGAGGGCGAGTGGGACTTTGTGCCTGTGAAGAGGCGGGGGGGTGAGTTGTGTTTTTGGTTTTGGCTCTGGCATGTTTTTGCGGGGGGGAAGGAGTTGGCGCAATCGCCGGCTCCTCTTTCTTTTGCCTTCCTTTCCTTTTTTTTTCGGGGTGACGAGGTGTACGATCGAGGCATGCGTGCCTCGATAACCGGAGAAGGGTGCTAACACCGTCCCTGGCGGCTGTGGTATCGTGTCGGGCCTCGTCAGGCGCGGAGTGGCCCGTCGTTCAGTACCCGATTGGGTAGCGCGTTCTCGTCGTCCCTTGTCTTGTGAGCCAAGGAGGGATGGAACGGGACGAGACGGGACGGGGGTGTCAGATGCCAGATACGGTGTATCGGGTGCGAGGCACCCTCACACTCGCACTGGCACTGGCATACATGGACTCAGGCCCGCCCCGCTGTACCTGCTTTCTTTCGTTTCGAGTCGTGCAGAGCACTCGATCAAAGCTTCGATGTACTCCTAGTGCCTCTGCGTCCCGTTTCTGCGCACTTCTCCTGCACCTGTTTTCTTCGTTTCGAGATGTGCAGAGCGGCCGATCAGGGCTTCGCTTCGATTGTCACTAGCGTCTTTCTGCGCCTGTTTCTATGCCCGTTTCAGCGCACTTCTGCGGCACCTGGTTTCTTTGGAATTGCCTTTCTTTCGGATTGTGGCGACCAGTCGATCGGGGCTTCGCTTCAATGTACTCGCCCCCGTTTCTGCGCCCGTTTCCGCAGAGGTAGCTTGCGCTACCCACTTACCCACACCGTGTGGGCCGTGCGCTAGGGTTGTGCGCCTGCGGGTCGAATCGGAGTTGCGACCTTCGTGCAGTGCTCACTCGCCTCTGAGGGAGCGAGGCGCGGCGTCCTTCTCTTCTCTCCTGAGCGATGAACGAGATGGAGACGTGGGTGACGGTTTAGAGAGTATGGCCCCGTACGAGGTACGGGATGCCAGAGTGTGGGGTGTGTCGCCGTGCCTGAAGAGGACGGGTGCGATGGCGCGCGATCACGCTCGCGATGGTGGTGCGGGCACGCTCATACTCGCGGCGGACACCGGACTGAGGGCCTGCTTTCTTTCTTTTGTTATGGAGCCCATTCGATCAGGCTTCGATGTACGCCCTGCGTCCCCCGTTTCTGCTGACGGAGGTGCTTGCACTACCCGTTTAGCGACGTCGTGCGGGACGTAGTGCTCACTCGCCGACGAAGGAGGCGTTCTTCTCTTCTGTCCGAGCGAAGAACGGGAGGGCCGTGGGTGTGCGTGTATGTGACAATGTAGAGAGTGCGGCGCGCGTGCGAGGTGGGGTGCGGGGTCTGAAGAAGACTTGCCTGCTGTGCGAACACGCTCGGGCTCGGGATGTATCCGGGCTGTATTGTACACGCTTCACCCACCCTCATCCTCTCCTAGCTACCGTTTTGTGTCGACGCGTCTAGAGTTTCTGTGACTCTGTGCGGTGCCGTGCTCCTGCTGTTTACTAACCCCTCGTTCTCCCCAGCCCAACAACCCCAATCCCAATCCTCCCCACGCACCACCACATCCGCCTCCCGGCCCACAGGTAGTTCTCTTTCACAGACCCCCCCACTCGTAACCTCATTCTCACCTCCTCCCGCCCCACCGGCACAGGCACCGCAGGACAAGGCGCCCAAGCGAAGAAAAACGCGAAGCGGAAGGAGGCCGAGCGCGCGGCGAAGGCGGCGGCGGAGGAGGCGCAGGCGGCGGCGTTGGCGCGGCATCGGCGGGAGAGGGAGAGGGGTGAGTTGTTGTTTTGATTTTTCGCTTCACTCCCAAAGCGACTTTTCGTTTGCTTTTGCGATTATCACTCCATCCTCCCCGTTCTGCGCCTTCGCTGCCTTTATCCGTCCATCGACTCCCCTCCCTTCTTCGACCACGCTCCTTCTAGTTTACTTGTTTTTCTCCATTGGATGACTGGGCACGGCCCAGTCCACACACGCGCTGCTTTGTCCCTTCCCTCCCGTCCCATCTCCATCCCACTTCCCCTCTTCGTCTACTCTCCCCATCCCTCTTTCTCCCTCCCCTTTCCCCGCCCCATACACCCCCCCACCCCACCCCACCCCAACCCGCCCCACCCGATCGCTAACCCCTCCCCTTCCCATTCCCAGCTCAAACCCAAGCCTCCCCAGCCGGGAACCCCAACAAGTCAAAAGTCGGCGGCGGGATGACTGCGAGCGTGGATGAGGGGGGGAGGTTGGTGTGGGATTGAGTGATTGGTTTTGGGGCGCGAGTTGGAGGGGGGAGGCGAAAGGAGGGATGAGGGGGAGGGGGGGAGACGAAAGGAGGAGGAGTGGTTGGTGGGAGGCGCTTGGGCGAAAAGGACAGGGAGGGCAGAGTGGCGAGGAACACGCGAACGGGAAGGAGGGGAATCGGGTGGAGGAGTCAAAGGGTGGGGGCGGATGCGAAGAGGGAGGCGGACCGCGGCGCGGTGAGGGACGGAGGTGCTGCGTTGCGAGACCGGGAACGGGTGGAAGAGTGCGCGTGCGGGACGCAGCGCGTACGAGGGCCAGGAAGCCGCGCGATAGGGCGATAGGGCAGTCGGACGGCGCGCACAGGTGTGGTGGAAGAATGCAAGGGCGCGTTGGGGCGTTCAACGAACGGACGCCGAAATCCAAAATCCAAAACTCATTATTCTACACAGGCTACGCACATAACTTACATATTACTTACAAGGATCGCACCCACACTCACTTGCTTACCCATCATCCACTCATTCATCGTTGTTTTGTCTGGTGGGATTGTGGTTACATATGCACAGGGTGGTTATTGCTCGATAGAATACAAAATGCATGAGCAAAACGTAGGATACGAGATGCGGTGGTGCTGAATATATTATATAGAAATGGATTTACAGCAAAAAGGGGCAGGTCGTCAAATATGACCACCGCAGGGGTCGAACCTGCAATCTCCTGATTACAATGTCACAAGCTTATGTCCGATCGTAGTCAGACGCGATGCCATTTCGCCAGGCGGCCATGAGTAAATGTGGCATTTTGGTAGCTCAGGGTCGGCAACGAGCCTGTGATTGTAATGGACGCGAAGAGTTGAACAACCATGCCCAGAGCTCCGTATGTTGGCAACGTTTAGAATGATATGAATACGACTTGGTAGCGGGAGGTCTGCGTAATATGGTACACTGCTTTATGCAGGGGTTCCTTTTCGATTTGAGAACAAGACCGATTCCAGATAGATACGAGATGTTTTTGCTGTTTCCTTAGCCTCCAAGTTACAAAGCGAGAGATACGAGTAGAAACAGAGCAGAAAATCAGTGTCTTTGCCGCGAATTCTTTCACCTGTTGCCTCAAGTAATAATTTGAAATATTCCTCACACACAAGTACCTGCGGACGCCGAGTTTTGGAAACATGACTTGTACTACGAGAGGTCTATGTGTCCCATTCACTGCAGTATTATTTTTGTTCATCGAAGATGGGTTGCATGTACAATTGCAGGTTCAAAATGGGTTGGATACGGCTTGGGCACGAGAGCAAATTCTGCCCTTGACTTGAACACGGATTCAACCTAAGACACGATAGAAACTTCAACTTCGCATGCTCTCAGTTAAATAGGTGTCTAAGTGGTATCAGTCCCACAAGTGGTATTAGTTTTACAACCTTCTAATGGCCGCCTGGCGAAATGGCATCGCGTCTGACTACGACCAGCTGGCATCCGCAAATTGTAATCAGGAGATTGCAGGTTCGACCCCTGCGGTGGTCACTTTAGAAACATGGTGACACTTTTTTGGCCTTGATTTTCATTTTATATTCAGCACAACTTCCCTGCATTTTGCCTCCTTCTGCCTCTGCGCTTTCTATTTGCAGGTTCGACCCCTACGGCGGTCATGCCGAGGGTTCCAATTTAGCTCCCAAGTTTTGTTTCTCCCTTTTCCTTCAGTGTTACCTCCAGTGTACTTTGTCTACGGCACGAAGTTTTGTGGAGGCAAGCGGCTATTATTAAGTTCAGCGAACGATTTCCAGGTCGGCGACTTGGAAATCTCGGACCTACTTGGAAATCTCGGACCTACTGCCGGCAATGGCCAGTCCGGCAGAACTAGCAGACAGAATGGCAGAGCCACTATTCTGCCAGCCACACTACCTGAGGTCGGGCATGCAGTGAGGGATATTGCATTGGATATATTGTACACTAGCGGGTAAGCAATAAGTTAGGTGGATCGTAGGCGGTTGAGTAGGTATACGGGAGTTGTGTGTTACAAATACAATGGGTAGAAGACGATATCGCGGATGCATTATATAGCATGCAAACAGGGAGCGCGGATGCAGATATAGATTATGCACTCCAGGAAGGTAAAGCGAGTTGCAGGGATGGATGATAGATAATAAAGCATCAAAACAAATGAATGCAAGATAGGAAATATATGCAGTGCGGCATCGATTAACAGTGGATTGTTGGGGCTAAAAGAGAGTGAGTAGTTTGAGTAATTGATGGAGGAAAATGATATGATATGCGGCAAGGAAACTCAAACGAGGCTTAGACTGGGCTCAGTCAGCGCCGCACATCCCCGGGTTGGTCCCGCCCCGTGGCCGCAGCACGCTTACCCGCGCCCGGGCTCAGTGCCTCGTGGCTGATGCGGGTGCGCGGTTGGATACGACTGAGCACTGGCACGCGCAGGATGCGTAGGAGGTTGTGCGCGCTGCGAGGGGGATGGATGAGCAGACGCCAGCGGCGCCTCGGTAGCCGTGAATGCATCGCCGTCCGCCACGAGCATCCGTCCGCCTCTCTCCTCGTCGTCGCGGGAATAGGACGCAGCCGCTCGGGGCGCAGGCCGCGGGGGCGTATCGACACTGTAGGTCTCGGGGTCTGCCGCTGCACTGGGGGGCGAGCGGTGCGTGGTGGGATGCGGTTGCAGGGCGCGCTTTGGCCGGCGCGCAGACGTCGCGCGCCCTGGGGCGCCTGCGCGGGCCGATTTTTTGGCGCCTCGTCTTCGCGGGCACGTTTGGCGCTGGCATGGCCGGCGGCGATACCGACGGCGGCATCCGGGCGCACGATGCGGGCCAGGGCGTGCGCGGTGTTGTCGCTGCCGTGTACAGGCAAGTGCTGGTACAAGCCTTGGTCTCCTGGGAAGGGTGCTGGCGGGATGTACGCAGTCGGTGGGGCAAAGTTATACGGTGGGTACGTCGTGGGGGTCGCCGATGAGAACGACGACACCGAACCCGGCGCAGATCCCGACGAAGCGGTGAGTGATGATAGGGAACCAGCGCTCGACCTGCCTCCAATTGATCCCGCGCCACCAATCGCACTCGTAGTCGTAGAGAACGAGCGGAGAGTAGGGGGAAACGCGGATGACGAAGCCGAGGTGGTGTGGCTAGGTGCATGGGGAGGGGAGAATGATGACGAGGAGGTGAACCTCGGGGACGAAAACGAAGGCGACGCCGACGCCGGCGCAGTAGAGAGCGTACGGCTTGGCGCGGAAGAGGCGTCCTGTGGCCCGGCGTGTACGGAGAATGACGAGAATGAGGCCCCAGTATCGTTGCCTCCGCGACCGTCTGCACCGTCGTCGCTGTCCCTACGCCCACTTCCGCTAGCCCCTGGTCCCGAGAACGTTTGCGACGCTGGAGGAAATGACCGAAACTCCTCACCCCATTGCCCGCCATGTGTTTGCGGAGCCGAGATAGGACTGGTAGTATGCGCCGCGGAGAAGCTCGCGCTGCGCTGGCCCCGCCCATGCACGGGCGAGCTGGATATCGCCCGGCGGCCGCGGTCAATGTCCGAAGGTACGACTGTGCCCAGTGGTGGGGGTGCTTCCTCGGGGTGGCCATGCTGGGAGCCGCTCCGTCGCCGCTGTATTGTATCTGGCGGAATAGAAATAGTCCGTGTAGGCGAGAAGCTCGCCCGCCGCTGCGCGGGCGACAGACTTGCTGATACAGAGCGAGGATGCACCTGTGGCTGCGAAAACGATGGTGATTGCCTGGGATCGAAACCTTGCCCCTCCGCATTGAATGGCGGAGGCGGGGGTATTAACCCTGGCGGCAGGGGGTGGGACGCCAGTACTTGTGGTGGGAGGCGGTAGATGTAGTCCTCGAACGCGTTGACGCGCCCTTCGAGCACGTCAACACGCCCTCGCAGGGTGTCGTATTCAGAGCGGGGAACATATTTCTCTGCGCTGGAGGACGGCATGAGTATTCTGGTTCAGAACGATCGATCGATTGAGTAACAATTAGATGAGCGAACAACAACGAGAGATGACGAAGCTGGGCAGATATAGGAGAGACCGCAGGAAGAACATCCAGAAACACGACCTGCGGAAAAAGAAAGAAAAAAAAGAGACTACTCACGCAGGTTCGACAACATGCCACTGACACTTTCCCTGGTCTCCCCTCTTCACGCAGGGCCCACAGGGCTGTGCCCTACAAGCACTACGATTGAGTTATTCTGCACTCTATCAATTGTAACAGATGCGCACCTGTCGCACCGGATCTTCCTCCGTTTGCATTCTGTCAATATCATCGCGGAATCAGCTGTTCCGAACCCAAGTAGATACAGATACAGGAACGCACCCGTGCAACTCAGCGCCTGTCGCCGTCGCTTCTTCTTCGGGGGCTCGTCATTGCCCGCAGCCTCGCGCTCGTCGCCATCGCCTTCCGACCCAGCGTACGACGATGCAGGATACCTACTATCTCCTCCCCCTCCAGCGTGACTTGTTGTCTGCATGTAGTTCGCGGTCGACGTCGATGGGCTGGGGTCCATGGCGGCAGGTGGCGGGAGATACGGGTGCAGGGTACGGATGCTCGGCAGCTGCGGGCCGGCGGGGCGCTGCATGTTCCTCTCTCTCCTGTGGACGGTCGGAACTAGAAGCGGCCAAGTATACCACCCCAAGACGTGGGTTTATATGTATGCATCTGCATAGACGCACCCTTATGGTTAGGCCGTTTCCCCGGGCGCGTGCGCTATATTTTGTTGCTGGCGTTTCGTCAAATCGGGGTCGATTTGATTTCATCCTAGTAACCCCGCTTCCGAGTATGCTTCCAGCCCGATGCGCTTCCCACCGGATTAAGTCCCTGTGAGTCTCAATTCCCCGAGTGTCGTAACGCATAACCGTTATCCCCGCACCGGACAGCGAACAAGAAAGAGCAGTTTCCCATCAATGTTTATCATTGCGCTTGTTCGCCAGACGACTCCGTTTCAGAGCAACAACAGTCCGATCAAAATTAATACTGATGGTGTCCCTGGTCTTGGAACCGAAAGCACGAGATGGAATACAAACGGAGACTTGGATCCAACAGGATCCAACCTGTCTGACCATTGACATACACAGCCTGAGCAGAATGCATGATGGCCCGATCTTGGAATATCCCATAAATATAGAGCCAATGTGAGTCGACAATTATCCCAAAGACCAATATTTCGCTGAATATCCGCAAAATATCCAAGAGAGCTCGGGCGCGCCGTATATGACGTTTCTGTTTGACGATCCGTGCTTTCTTGTGGACCTTCGACAAGACCTAGAGACAGCGAGTCACAGAGAAAGAAGCCATGTCCCTCAGAAGCGGCGGAATCTACGCAGCAAGATCCTTGAAATTAAAGAAGCCCAATCTCAGGCTAGCACAGTGAACGGAACGTTGGAGCATATTCGTGAGAAAAGTCAGAGTATGCACTGGAGATAGCACCGCAGCAAAAGATATGATGGGATGGCATAGCAGCAACCTAGGTTCGACCTATTCCTTGAGGATGCCACTAGGCGGGGCGGAGATTGGCACCGCTGAAGGGAGGAAAAGACTGGAGAGAAAAAAACGATTTGGCTTTGTTACGCGTTACGTTCATGATGTGACCGTCACCAGAGTTGCGTAACTCTTGGCTCGTTACTACCATGGTCTATGGCCAATCTATGACTGCGTTCCCCCAGCTAATGTCCGCCTGCGCCTATCGATCCCACAGCTCATCTCCGCCGCTCATAGCCGTTGGCCGTTATGTCCGTCCAACGCACCCGCACGTCTAATCGATGTCAAATTCTATCGATACGTTTTGGTCCTTTTGGATACGTTACATCAGCTATTTTTCGAGTGCTCCTTTGGTTGATCAATCCGGACCGACGTTCCAGCACTGGGTGGCGCGATAACCGCAACCCAGGAACTTTGCAGGGCTGCCTTGACTCTTCGCCTCAATTTCACCACCGCCAATTAATTAACTCAGCTGGGGTGCCTGGGCTTTGCCAAGTGCCATGTTGCTGTCTTGTGTCGATGTTTCGATGGCCCGTTGTTTTCTCCGCTCCTGCGTGTTTGACATCTGTCTACCGGACTGAAGGCCGGCTTGACCGTCTATGCTACTGGCAGTCTAATTCACACTTAAACCGATCGGCCCATTTTTATTCTTGTGCAATCCAAGATTCGTATAGGTATCAAAATTATCGTCGAATTCAATGGCTCCACGCTCCACCTCCCTATCGGTACAAAACATATCGATGAGATTGGTATGAATTCATTGTTTCCTTATTTCAAATTCGAATTGTTTACTCCAATTTCAAGCCAAAGAAAAACACTCTTGCGTTGAAAATACTGAACCCACGGAAATCCACAAATCCGGTGCGTATCGGAAAAGAATTGTAATATGAATTCATATGATTCCTTCCATACCGAACAGCTCCGATGCTCCTGAGAAAGTATACTCGGCGCCGTCTAATACGCATGGTATATCTACTAATATTAATCTAGCTCGGCGCCCCTTCGGTCTCCATTCTTGTCTAGTCGAGCCTGGTGGAGGTA